AAAAAAAAAAAAAAATCAGTATGCATGTATTTTTTTTCCTTTCCTTTTTAGCAAATTTTCCCATTAACCTTATCATAATCATCATCGGTATTTTAATCGTCCCCATAGTGTCCATCGTTGTCATCTTCACAGAACAGTGCTTTTTAAGAAACGTTTTTAAGAGACATTTTCATCAGTATATTTAAAGCAGAAAAAACACTTAAAATAATGTTCTTTTTCTTGTTTCTTCTTTATTCTTTATTTTTAATAAAAATTGTTTTAAAAAATACTAAATTTTTTTTTAAAGACAAAATAATCAAAAAATATCTGCCAAATAAATAAAACAAATTGAAATTTACATTTCATTGTCATTATACATTATTAAAAAAATTGGCTATATTTAAAAAATCACACCTGCTGACCTTTTACCCTTTGATCTGTCCCCTATGTTACAGCCAAAATTGAAACTTCCAATTGTACCAAGCTTCAATATACCATAATAAACTACCAAGACAGAATCTACACCGAATTACGCTTACAGCATTGTTTTTTCTAACATACATCAAAAGTTTGACTATTCGTCTAATTGCTGTAAAAAAATATTAACAGGTTTTTTATCCACTAATTTCCTTTTATAAACGATAAACGTCTCTGTAAGAAATAATGCCCTAAACAGCAAAGATACCGCTGTAAATAGTTAACAGATACTATACTTCTAATCTAAAAAATATATGTATATTTGCCATTCATTCTTAATATAGCATTTTATGCTTTCGATGAATGACTGCTGCTGACGACATTTTATTTCACATTCACAAAGTTTTTCAGTAATGTTGGTGAAATAAACCTATCAATGTTACATTAACTCAAAAGCACAGAACACGTGTTAGTTGTTGTTGTTATTACTACTGTCCCAAATGAATCTGATGACCAACAAGAACCGTATTCCTCAGTTCTGTTTAAGAGCTCCAGAATTTAAAATTGCTTAATAAAAACTGCCAATATCGACTGTATTCTTCTTCTTTTAAGTCAATTTTTCCTCCTCCAATTTTATGCATAAAAAAATTTTTTCAACATCTTTGCCGCCAATGTTTCCCTTTACCCTCTCTTTTTATCCCATTCTTACTTCCTCCACCTCACTGATAAACAGTTTTTCATATTTGTTTTCTACAAAAAAAATTCTCCGAACAACAAAGAGAAGAAAGAAAAAAACGAAAGTCTTATCCTTAATTTTCTGCAGCTTAAAAACGATAAGAAAAGTAACTTTTTTCCTTAGCATTATTGGAAAATTAGTCAAAGTTTTTTCGTTGTCCGATACATACCAAAAAAATTATTGTATTTACCATAAGTAACATTTTACCCCGTTTTTTTCTCTCACTTTTATCCCCTACAACAAAGGAAGAAGATGAATACTTATAATAAACACTTTACTAAGCTTTTACAAAAAAAAAAAAAATTTTCTTCCATTTCAAATGTGTGTTCCTATAGGGCTTTTGAAGCCACTGAACAGCACCGATTTGTTTCAGTGACGCTCAAGACGCCACAGAGAAAAAAACTGCTGAAGACGACGGCGGCAGGAAGCATCAATTTGGAAAGACAAATTGAAAAAAGCAGACAATCAAAACGTCATCATCACCACCATCGCCACCGATCAATTATTGTTCCAAAACGTCAGAGACAACAAGTAAAAACAGGAAGAAATTATTAGTTTCGTTGCGGTAGATTTGTGACCACAATTTTGTAACGATCAAATAGCACATTCAGATAAATACCTCCATCGATAAATTTAATGAACAACAAAAATAATGAAGACTAGCAATTTATCATTTATTTTTTCAGATAGAATATTTAGAAGAGAAAAATAATAACCAAGAAAGAAAAGAAACAAAAAGAAACAAAAAAAATATAGACTTCAGAAGGTACTTGACCCTGAAAATAATCTTTTTTGATAAAAAGAAATCAATGCTTCTTCAGAAAGCAAAAAACAGAAAAAAAGTTTCATTTCCTCTAAACTACAAATATCTTTAAGCTCTCTATCACATTTATTCCTATATTTAAGCTCACAAACGACGGTTCAAGTGAGCCAGTCAGAAGGCAAAAAAATTAAAGTGAAAATGAGAATGAAGCATTTTCAATGAGCTGTATCAGACTGCTAAATAGATAAGAACAAAGATGGTATAATTAAGTCCAAAAATTATTACTGGCAGTGAAACTTACTCAAAATAATCACGACCGGGGTAATCGATCAAATATTGAGGATAAGCAGTACCAATAACAGCATACAAATCACAAATTTGCCATCGGTTATCATAGGTTAACGTGCGACAAACCCAAATCGAACGTTCATCCTGATATATAAACAAATACAAAATACTGATTACTGATTAATCTAAGTCAATAAAACTTCAAAAACTATTTCTAGAAATTATTCTTAAATTCAAAAAAAAAAAAACACTACCAATACAAACAATTTTGAAACACCGCAACATTTCTATATATAATCCATTACTCTTATACGTTCCCAACA